GGTGGGGAGAGGGCAGCCAATCGTTTTCTCCGCTGCCCTGATGACCCTGTGGAGAGCTTTCATGTCTGAGGAGGTGCAGCTGCTGTACCCCAAGCAGAGTCCGTATGTAAGTACTGTACGCTCTCCATGGAACAGTGGTAGAAGGCAAGGTGCAGATTTTTGGGGAGACGGTTCTTTCTGAGGATTCTCAGAAAATACAGTCTCTGCTGCGCCTTTTTCAGCAGCTCCTTGGTGTTGGCAGTCCAGGTCAGGTCATCCTCCAACTCCATACCCAGGAACCTGAACACCGGGACCCTCTCCACAAAAGCCCTGGCGATGGTGAGTGGCTGAATGTCAGTTTTATTTTTCCTGAATTCAATGACCAGCTCCATTGTTTTTGTGGTGCTGAGGAGCAGGTTGTTGACTCTGCACCACTCTGACAGCCGCTCCACCTCGTCCCTGAATGCCAGCTCACTCTCCTTGCCCGAGATGATTCCTATCACCGTCGTATCATCTGCAAACTTAATGATCTTGTTGTTGAGGTGAGAGGGGACACAGTCATGTGTGTAGAGGGTATACAGGAGTGGGCTGAGCACACAGCCCTGAGACTGAGAGCAGGAGAGGTGTGGGAACCCAGTCTGACCCACTGGGAGCAACCTGACAGAAAGTCCAGTATCCAACTGCAGGTGAGTGATGGAAGTCCTAAGTCTGCCAGTTTGGACACCAGTCGTTGTGGGAGGATGGTGTTAAACGCCGAGCTTTAATCCACGAAAAGCAGTCTGGCGTAGCTCCCCTGCTGCTCCAGAGGGGTCAGGGCAGCATGAAGGCTGTGGCCACAGCATCCTCTGCGCATCTCTTTGCCTTGTAAGCAAGTTGGAATGGGTCCAAGTCTGCTGGCAGGCAGGCCATGATATGACTCCGCACCAGTTTCTCAAGGCACTTCATGATGACTGATGTAAGTGCAACTGGGCGGAAATCATTTAGAGCAGGGGTGTCCAATCTTATCCGCAAAGGGCCGGTGTGTATGCGGGTTTTCGCTGCAACTCCCTAATTAGATTACTAATTAGAGGACTGATTGGCTGAAGAGTCCTCACACCTGGGTTTGAACAGCTGACCTACAGGTTATCCCAAAAACCTGCATACAGAGTACATAGAGTGTTTGTTGTGGTTTTTTTGGCAGCGGAACAAGGGTGGAAGCCTTGAGGCAAGCTGGGACAGTGGCCTGGGACAGGGACTGATTGGAAATCCTAGTGAGGACTCCAGCCAGTTGATCCGCACAATCCAGCCACACCATCAGGTCCTGCAGCCTTCCTCGGGTTCACCTTCCTCATCACCCACCTCACCTCCCACTCTTCCACCGTGAGTGTGTTGCTGTGGTAGCTGCACTGGAGCTGCTGCACTGGAGCTGCAGTTGGTGTCACCTGAAAGCGGACAAAGGAGATGTTCAGCTCCTCTGCCAGAGAAGCATCTCCGTCAGCGACCGCGGGGTTACTGAATTGTAGCTGGTGATGTGCTGGACACCCCCTCAGACCTGCTTGGTGTTGTTGCTCCTCAGGTGGTCCTCTATCCTCCTTCTGTAGGCTGCCTTGGCCTCTCGGATGCCTTTCTTCAGGTCGGCTCTGTCTGCGCTGTAAAGTCCCTTGTCACCGTACCTAAAAGCAATATGTCTGTCTTTCAGCAGGCTCTGAACCTCCCTCATCTTCCAAGGCTTCCTATTTGGAGCCATTTTGGAGTGTAGAAGGAAGCCCACCCACTCACTGACCCAGAGCTGGGGCAGGATTTGCACCCCGCAACCCTGGAGGTATGAGGTGCCACTCGACGCAAAGTCACCAAAAAAGCTTGGAAAATAAGACGTTGACATACTTTAAAAGTGTCTTGATTGCAGGATCGGGAGCTGATTTTCCATTCAGCCTTACGCTTCATTTCAGATTGAACCTCAAGAAAACACACAGTCAGTGTGTCATGTGGCCGCAGAGCTGAAATTCCCAACAGTCTGATTCTCAGAGGAGAGAGAGGTGACTTCAGGGCCTCATAAAGGAAGCAGGTACGGGGGGGGAGGTGGGAGTGTGTGACAGTGCGCTCACATTACACACAGAGGCAGCGCAACTCAGTCAGCAATCAGAAGAAATACGTCTTTTGGTTATTAGATGCCCAAACTGCTTGTTTTTGCGATTACCTAAAAAAGTAAAAGTCCCGTGTAAGAACTCATTTTATTTATACTGCCCAAATAATTCTGCACCTTCACTGCATGTTTCTCAGTACACCTCAGAGCTTATGGTACCCAATCTCCAGGGGAAAAAAAAGTAAGAGATGTAGCCTCCCACCTTGTGGTGAAACCTGAGTACTGCAGCAATTAGAGGGTTAAATCGGCTTGGAAATGTTTCATCTCCATCTTCCTCTGCCTTCTCAACGACACAACTCACCATTATGCTCCATTTTGCTGTACATAATGACAAAGAAGAGAGAAATGACTGCATAATCCGTCATCAAAACGTGGATTGAACCTCAGATATTGGCCAGCGATTCCTTGAGCACACAGTCAGGCTTCACACACAGAAACACAGCAGGTTTCAAACTCTCCAGAGGAAAATGCAGATTGGTGAGGTACATGATGTTGAGACTTTACAGTTTATGTGCCTTAGAAGTTATTCCACCAATCACAGTCTCGTCTCATTAGTGTGACGTAATCTCTCACGTATTTCTTGACATCCCCACTGAATCTCTCATTACCGCAAATTACAAGTGAATAATAAGTTAATAAGTGACATTGTGAATAGGGATTATTTCCATTAATCATATCATGTGTATAATAGTTGCCATGTATCATCATCATTATCATCACCATCTTTCGAGGGCGGCTTTTCCATGGGTTAGTATGCAGTACTAATTGAACTCCGCTTATGCGTAAATGATGGGAGAGAAGAAAGATCGTTCATTGTTTAATCTTATATAATAAAGGCAAAAATTAACATTCTTATATAATGAACACATTAAATTATAAACTAATCACAAATCATATCTTAACTGGCGTTTCAGTCATAAAGCATTATTTCTTTTACAGCGTTAATTTTAATTGCGTTAATTCTGATACTATAGTAGAAATTAGATTTTTAATAGAATTCAATTGCTAAACTGAATATACAGACTTGGAATATACACACTTTTTTTTGGTATTGTAACATGATTCTGTTTGCAATTGTGATTTAAAAAAAAATGTTTTCTCACCCTATTAATTATCTTTGCTCATGATGATGAAGATGGATTTGTATGACAAAAAATGTCACGTATCACTGCACAGCAGCTATTACACTCATTAAAATGATGAAGGATATTGACAGTCAAACGCTGGGACGTTTTCCCTGCATGACAACATGGCCACTGAGGCATAGGTAGTAGGACCAGTTAGAAAATGATGTCAATTATGTCCAGACTGCACTCCTCTGATGAAAGGATAATGCAGGTGTAGGACACCAGGTGCAATTTGCTGGCTAAGTTGGTGATCTGCATCACAAAGCTGTTTTGTGTCGACACCGCAGATGGTGTGAGGGCCTCTAAGGCTGTGAACGAGCCAGTTGCACTGTGTCTCATGCGGCGCACGCTGCGGCAACAAAACTGCCAGTGCCCTCCGCAGCTGGCAGCCTGGGCGGCCGCCTATGTCACCCATACAGTAAGCTGACCAGCCCTGCCAATTGCAATAACCGATACTGGTAACCAGCTAAACTCTGAGCTCCACAAGTCTGCAGTGAAACTTATGTTGGTGACGTCACTCCTTAAAATCCCACGAATGTGTGGAGTAATCACACACACAAGCGATGAGACCGTGGCCAATTAGTGCCGACTTGGGAGATTGTACCAAGAGTCTATGGTGTGAACGAGCGGACAAAATCCCTCATCGTCCGTTACAGAAAATGGCTGATCATCCAATGCAATAGTCACCATTATTTTAGTAGTAATGTTGCTTAGTACACGATCAGAAAAAGGCAAACAGTCCTGGTTCAGTTTTCTACCCAATGGTACAAAAATGTTCCTCAGAGTCAATTTCTGTACCTTGAAAGGTACATTTACCTACAGCTATAGGGTACAATTGGCAGACCCTTGAGGGTACAGCCCCAGCGACAAGTTTTGTACCCTCAAAAGTACAGATTGGTAATTTTTTTCCTGAGAGTAGTTTAGCTCGGGTGCTGCTAACTTTTGACAAAAATCTCTACATCAATCAATACAACTTCATGAGGCAGAGACACCAAGATCATCCTGATGCTACATTAAAACAGCACAAAACATCCAGACACATTAATGCTGCACCTTTTTTGTTAGCTAGTTCGGCCAGTTTCACAAAAAATTAGGGATGTCCTGATCGGATTTGATTATTTCTTGATCGATCGCATCGGACTTACCGAGGACAAACCTAAGCCGGATCCTTTCCTTTAAGTTAGAGGTCATCCATGTACATGTATCATAAACGGAGAGCGTGTGGTGTAGTAAATGGAGGGAAGACGTGTGGAGGGTAAAATATCTGCAGTGTGGAGATATTTTAAAATTGAGAAATGAAAGCAGTCCAACAGCCTTTTGTAAGGTCTGCAATGGGAGCGTTTAATACCACCAATCTGAATTGTGGTTTTTGTTTGTTGTGACTGAATGTTTCTGTTAAGCTATTATACCACTTTGAAGTGGAATTTTGATTATATTACTCATTTTGAGTTATTTAGAAAGATACATTAGCTTGTTCATTTTGCGTAAAATAGAATCTTAAGGAGCATCTTAAGATTATACAGATTAATAGGGCAGTTGATTCCTTGCGCACTGTGGAGCTATTCAATTGTCACACATACACAATGAAGTTATTTAATAACTTTAACTGTACTTGAAGTGACCACTGCGCAACTGCATTATCTGGGAAAATAGAAGTATCGGATCAGGACTGCTGGTATCTGGGGGGGAAAAAACCTTGATCGGGGCACCCCTACAAAAAACACTCAGCTTTGCAGAATATCCATAATCTGTATATAAATACATAATTCAGACCAAGTTAAAAATGTCTTTATAATTAACAGAGAAATATATTGGCCTGTTCCATGATCTCACAGGTGGGCCATGCAAAAAAAAAATAATCACCGCACATCGGCAACTGGGAAACCACAGATATCCAGAGGAAAACAACACGGAGATTCCCATTTGGGGTGAGGTGGGGGGGCTCCTAGAGAAAACACAAAAAGGCAGGCAGTAGCTTGATAACATGACATTTAACCCAAAAAGGTTCTCTGTTCAGTCTAGAGTAAACTTTCCAGAACTTTCAACGTTGGCCGGGTATCTGGAAATCAGCCAATCAGAACACTCCAGCTAGCCGCTCAGCATGGCAGGATCCAAATGCCTAAGGGCCCCCCCGACTAAGTGCAGGCTTCCGGTAACGAGAACCTGGATCCCCGCAGCTTCACGCAGCGGCAGGGCCCTGGACGCGACGGCAGGATGAGTCTGCATCACATGCTCCTTTGGTAGCATAAGGACAGGGTCCCTTCCCTGGCTGATCCACTGGAGGGCGCTGAGGATGCAGGGGAACACAAGGGCGTTGTTCCTCAGCCCAGCCACAAGGGGGACGCCGCATGGGATGACTCGTTCGGCCTCCAGCCGCTCCCTCTGGCCACTCATGCTCCACCAGCTGCTTTGGTTGTCCAGGCAACGAGCAAGCATGTTCTCCACACTGGGATTGGGGGGATCTGTCCCAGGAGCAAGGCGCAGTCACCAGGGAGCCGAGAACACAAGCTCACACACAGAAGGTCACATTTAAATTGCACAGAGAATCCCCCAAATCAGACAACACTTACCTTCATTTGAGCCAACAGTCTCTATGATGTTGGGGCTGAAAACGGCAAAGTCAAACTGGCAGGGCTGTGGAAGATCAAGCAAACATGCAGGAGGCCATGAGAAGGAGTTACATGAGGTACATCGGATTACGTCATGTCTCATATCCCATCATGCCCTCCTTGGAAACACACAAACATGAGTGTAAAGCTTGGGTCCAAGCATAGGCTCAGCTATTTTTCTGGCGCCTCTGGATCATTTCAGAGGGTTAGGGGCCTCGGCTCAGGGGCCCAAGTGCCGCATCAATCTTCCAGCCCCAGGATTTGAAGCAGCGAGATACGGATCATGGGTACAGAATCCTAAACTGCCAAGCTACATTCCACCCCCCCCCACCCAGGGCCCCCGCAGCTCTGGGACTCACCGCCAGCAGCTTGAGGAGAGCGGCTGAGTCCCGCTCCCCCGTGGTGTTGAAGAGCAGCACGCGCACCACCGGGCCCCTGGGAAGGAGGCGGAGAGCATCGCCTGAATGAGGAGGCTTGGGGAGGCCTGTTCCTGACTAAGTGCGGAGGGGGCGGCACTCACCAGAGCGCCCTCTCCTGGCTGGAGGCCTCCTGGCTGAACCAGCGCACGCAGGCCTGCATGCTGCGCATGGTGTGGGCCCCGTCCAGATAGTAGGTCAGGAAGCCATGTCGTAAGATCTGGCCCCTCCCCGGCCACTCGGTGTCCTCCAGCCCTGGACGAGGTCAGAGAGAGAAGGAAGCCAAGTACTACCACATCCAGTCAGCAGCTTCCCTCAGCACCTTCAGCAAACACCTCAAGGCCCATCTCTCAGGAATTCCTCCACTAGCCTGACACCACTATGTGGTCCCTGGATGCTCTTAATCTTACACCTGATTTGAATAGTTGTGTTATTAAGTTCCTTCTTTGTTAGATGTGTTTCTGTAGCTCCTGCCCCAGTCCTGCTTACACCTGTACCTGGTCACTCACTGGACGCTCAGCCAAGCTGCACTTATGTCTAGTCAATTTACCTCACTTGCACGTCACTTTGGACAAAAGTATCTGCCAAACAGAAAAAATGTAAATGTACTACATAGAATGCAGAGATTAGAACCATTTTCTGTTTGAACACACAAGAACGAAAATTACTGCTCCACAAAATGCTAACTCGCACCAGCTGGTTTATACTGGCTGAAACCATTTCCCTTGAGAATAATTTAGGGAAAAAAACAAACATTAACGCCAGTGTACAAAGTAGGGGGGAAACAGCTGAAATTACCTGGATTACTAACTGATTCAGCAGCAGCACTAGCTACACGCACAACATCAAAACATACACATTCATCCATTATAATATAGATTTTAACTGACCTTTTATCGTAGCGGAACTGAGCGGGAATGGCATTGCCATGGAAACGGAGGCAGCTTCCTTGGAGAGCACTGGCCACCAGTTACCTAGGATATCAGAGAAGATAAGGGGCCAGTAAAGGTCAAATGTGGCAACACTAAGGCAGCATCCCAAACACAGACCCCTTCACAGTTCAATCAAGAAATTTCGTAGTACCTGATAACACACTTACCCTACACACACTCACACACACACATACACACACACACACACACACACACACACTGCCCAACCTCCTACCGAACCAGCCACCTGTAATAACCCTGTACCTGCCACATGGTGGCGCTGCAGCCAGCTCCAAGACAGCTGGAGGGCAAGAGCGGCATTGGAGCGCTGGTGCTGCCCGGCGAGACCCAGACGAAGCGGCCGACCCGGGTCCTCGTACTCCTCCAGGTCTGAGCACACGCAGAGTGGACACTAGGGGGAGGACAGCGAGACGTGAGCAGAGAAAGTAATACAGAGGCAGGAGAAGAGCAGCACCCGCAGCTCAATGCCGGACGTCCCCGCACAGGTCAAAGGGCAAAGGTCAAAGTCCACATTTTACTCGCTAGCACACAGCTAGCGCTACATTTCATGTAAGAGGATTGTTTTTCTTTATTCAGGACAATTAAATGATTATTCCACCTACAGAATGAATTCATCTTAGACAATCAGACGGGACATATTGCACACAGTGGGCAAAGGGCTTGTAAATTCCGATTAATATTAAATCACTGTGATGCTGACAGGTGACATTTTGGCCCCAGTTTCTTTTGAAAATAGTAAAAATCCCAAAAAAACAGTCAATATCTCCACATTACCTGCTTTGTGCCTTTCCTTCTCGTTATTAATAAACCCCCCCAATGAGAAAACCTTTAGAAACATGCCCCCCCCCCCATGGAGTTTCCTGTGACTCCTTAGTACCGTCTGACTTTCCAGCATCTGCACCTTGTCTGTGCCTCTGAACGACACCCTAACCCCCTCCCGCTCAGGGTGACGACCCCCCCTCCCGCTCAGGGTGACGACACCCCCGCCGCCATGCTGCCTGGGATGGGCTCCAGGACCCAGTGCCACCCGGACCGAGATAAGCAGATGGATGAGGTTCAACGTGCAAATCTATCAAATTTCGGAGAAATTGCCCGTCTAGGTCGCAGCCTCACGACCAAAACGCTCACTTCTGCTTTACTAGTGCAGAAGAGTTTACCGGCGAACTAACCAGTACAGCCAAGCAGACTAATGAGTTACCTACACGAAGAGTCAGGTAAGATTTTACTCTTTGGGGGTGGGGCAGGGGACACAGGGAGGGGCTTTAGGACAAAGAACAGGAGAGTCAGCTGAGAGTCAGCTGAGAGTCAGCTGAGAGTCAGCTGAGAGTCAGCTGAGAGTCAGCTGAGAGTCAGCTGAGAGTTAGGTGAGAGTCAGGTGAGAGTCAGGTGAGAGTCAGGTGAGAGTCAGCCTTACCCCGATCTCTCTGGCTCGCTCCTGCAGCACCTTCATGGGACCCTCAGGCTGCCTGACGGTGTAGGCAGGGACCCCTGGCTGGGGACAGGGACAGGGGCCCAGTGTCACAGAAGCCCCCCATCTTACATACTGAGTGGCAAAGAGTCACAGCCTCCCCCATGTCCTGTGCAGCCTCCAGGCTCCTATTTACCTGCCATTTCTCACTTCTGACCATTTCTGACCAAGTACTATTACAGCATCACTAGTATCACATGTGAAAAATGAAAAGGAGAAGGATTAATAAATTACCGGGTGTTTTGTTAAGCTTTACACTCATACACAGACATACAGACACACACACTCACACACACAGACATACAGACACACACACACACACAGACAGACACACATACTCTCACAGACAGACACACACACACTGTCATACACACAGACAGACACACACACTCACACACACAGACATACAGACACACACACAGACAGACACACATACTCTCACAGACAGACACACACACACACTGTCATACACACAGACAGACACACACACTCACATACACACTGACCTTAAAGATGCCACCTTTTTGCCAGGCAATCTTCTCAATGCTATCTCCCAGGATGCTGGTGTGGTCGATCCCCAAAGACGAGATCCCACAGACCCACGGCTTTCTGTCAGGAACAAAAAACTCCCATCGCTGAGTGACCAGAGGCAGCTAAAGCCTCTTTCTGCCTCATTAGGGGCAAGAAGGCAGCCTGAACTCTCCTTATGTGCCCCTGAAGAGGGCTGCTGCTGTCACAGGGGCATTAGAGACACACCGATGGTGACAAACCCGTCACCACCTCAGGGAACTTTCCTCCAGCTCCCGCCAGCTAACTAGCCGAAGAGAGCAAGTAGGCACAGTGACGGGGTCACCCGTGCCAGACGCTCCTCACCTGAGGATGTTGGTACAGTCATAGGCCCCCCCGATGCCCACCTCGATCAACGCTACGTCCACCTGCAGGTGACCGAGGAGAAGGGTCACGACATCACACTCATCATGTATACATGCCTGTGACAAAACACATTTACTACATCTGAATTATTTAGCATACACACACAGTAAGTAAAAAAGAACTATTGGGGGTTAATCAACATCCATCAATGGCGAAATCACTCGGCCAACTCTGGGATTTGACCTGGTGACCTTCCGAACACAGGAACAGCATCCTAACCCACTAAGCCACACGCCACCCCTATCTGCTAACTATAACATGCCAGCATAAGAAGTGTGTGCCTGCAGTGAGCGAGTGCGTAGCCTGCAGTGAGCGAGTGCGTAGCCTGCAGTGAGCGAGTGCGTACCTACACCCATCCAGGGTGACGCCCAATCCTGGGCTGTGCGCCAAAAATACCATATCACAATTTTTTTCTGCCAGGATCACAATCCGTGATCTCATAACAACTCTGTTTCATGTAGTTTTAAAACTATTTTGCAAGTTAATGTAAAAAATAATAGCCCCAAAAGGTAAAAAAACCTAAAATAAACTTAAAAGAAAAACAGGTAAAACTTTATTTAAGGCCATTTTTTTTAGTAATTTATAAACCCATTCATAACAAATAATAATGTGCATAGCTATGTTTATAATGCATTATGAACGTGTTTATACATTAGTAACAATATGGCCTTAAGTAAATTGTTACTGAAACATACTCGGCAGACTGTTTGAGGTGTTACTTTTGAGGTGGTGAAAAAGGTTTGTCATGCTGCCATCTGACACGTGAACCATATCTTTGCAAGTTTTGCAAATAGCTGTTTGCAATGTGTCTGTTTTATAAAATCCAAACAAGTTCCATGTTACTGCTGTTACATCCTTTTTAGGGACCAACTCCTCCATGACGTGCATGCCGTTACTTTGCCCAATAGGGGATGTGTTGTGCATTGCATGTTGGGACGAGAGCGCAAAAGAGGGAGAGGAAGAAATCTAAGGCACTACCTACTGTTTGCAATCGCTAATGTATTGGTGTGTTGAAACGGATTTGGCTGACAAAACTACTTTAGATGCGTGTATGAGCCATAGAACTGCAACTGATAGAATGTGGACAGTAGCACAGTACTAATGATCTCTCCATAAAAGGCAAACTGTGGAGATATTTTAATCGTTATTTAATTTAATGTTGTCAAATCGCACACCTCCCCTAGTAGGGAATATGCTGCAGGCCCGTGGTGGCCCTACTGGATAAACAGATACAGAAGATGGCCAGCTGGATGGACAGGTAGCTGATTGCCACCTTCCATTTGCCAGTTGGGGGTTTTCAATTCAATAAAAGGTGCTTGCCTTTGGATGCCATTCGCATCGCCATGGCGATCTGAGTGACCTCATCACCAGTCAGTACATTGACAATGCAACACATGATTGTAACGGGGGCATTCAGGACTGCGCAAGAGCCAGGGGAGATAAAGCAGGGCAGGGGGGAGGGAGGCAATGGGGGAGGGGGCAGCCCAGGACACAGGCTGACCTGTACCTGCGGGGGGGAGGGACAGAACTGCGCTGACAGTGGCTGCTGTTTACAGTTTACATTATAATATTTATTATAATATAATAAATGTGTTATAAAAACAAGGACTTTTATTACAGTATCAGATTTTTATTGCATGACATTTCATTTTTGCTGTTACGGGGGGAGTGACGGGAGGGGGGGGGCACTCACCTTTTCCCGCAGGAAGACGTGGAAGGTCAAGAGGGTGAGGAAGCGGAAGTAGGCGGGCATGCTGCCCCCGTAGGCAGCCTGGGGTGCAGAGAGAGACAACACACACACACACACACACACACACACACAGCTCAGAGCAGCCCAGCCCCCAGCCCCCCCCCCCTTTCCCCTTGCCCCCCCTTGCCGGGGCTAATCCCTCGCATGGCTGCTATCACATGACATCCCATGATGCAGTTCTCATTTTCAGAGGCTTTAACTGAATTACTCAAATTCAATGAAAACTGCCTGAATGGCTGACATACAGGACACAGTGTGAAACCAGGGGTAACTCACAATGCATTTCAGATTCAACAAAGTGTGTCTTACAACTATTCCAGACTCTACGTGACAAAATGCTGTGGAAAATGACCCAAGATCATTTAACTCTTTTTTCCATTTTCAACGCTGATCTCAAGTCAAAGTCATATGAGTTTTAGAGAACGGCATTCAATGGTCATATTAAAAACATATAGATGATTCTATATTTTTGATCTGGGTAAAATATAAATCCACGTGATTGCCTGAACAGCTTTGTCATTAAATTAACACACCCCCCACCCCCCATGAGCAGACCTACCTTAGTGGAGTCCAACCGACTGTACACATCCCAGAAGTACTTTGTGAAGAGACCTTTGGTAATTGGCTGTCCGTCAATCCGGATTCGCTCCCGGACGTGCACTAGGTGGGGGGAACTGCAAGGGAAACAGAACCGGGACCAGACAGTGACTATGTGGGGGGCACACCTATAAGTGATGGATAGCGCCGTAAGCCAATAAAAATCCACACGCGCAAGCGATCTTCAGTAAGCTGCCTTGTCATTGGTGCACACTGTCTTTGATGCACATGGGCTTTCAGGAACAAAAACAAAACAAAAAGAACATATGATGGTTATGTGACCAATCAGGAGGTCATGTGTCATCAGGTGACATGGACTCTCATCCCCTATATCTGTGCCTTGTCACAGACGACCTAAAACTGCTTTCAGTTTAATCTATCCCCCCACCTTTGACCTCAGAAATGCACCCTAAACCCACTGCAGCCCTTTGCAAAACCTTAAGTCCCTATTCCTATCTCCCACCCCCAGGTCACATGACTCCATTCACCATCCCACCCAGAGTAAACCTTACAGCCAGCCTCATTTAATATTAAATTTAAATTCAAGATGCAGTTCATGAGGAACACTGGACTACCATGTATAAGAGGGATTAACAAATGTAAACAACTTAGGTTTACAAATATAGCTGCAGCAAGTGTATCAATTACTGTAAACAAAACACTGGGAAGAATTAAAAAGCAAAAAACGTACTTAGCATGCATTATGAAAATAATGCCGCAGAGACCCTCTATTAGATGCATGGTCATTTAGCTGATTTATCTATGTGTTATTAATTATTAAAATGCTCTCAAATCACAATGTTAACCACACACAGGTTAGTTAATTATTTCTAAGAAACAGGGTCAGCAAATCAAAGTCCGTCATAATGACATCAGAGCTAAAGCGCCAGCACGTCAACATGTTCATGTTAGCGTGGTATTTTTGTGTAATAGGGCCATAGGGAACACCCGTCTACAGTATTACCTGTAAGGGGCACAGGAAACACCCGTCTTCGGTATTACCTGTAAAATCCAGTGCGGAAGCCGTGATTCCTGAGAATCCTTTCGGTAAAGGCACACGTCGATCCCTGAGGAATAGAACAAGGGCGATCACAAAGATTTAAGTTTCACAATACCAGTGTCAAGTGAGACAGCTGTAAACACAAACATGCCTCGTCAAGAAGCCACTGGTGGGGTGACTGAGTGTCAAAGGGCAAGACGAAAGGCCTCAGCTCTTTAAAGGAGAATTTCACACAAAATGCGGACTAGGCGCCTTTAAGTACAGCAAGACAAAAACAAGCTAAAGTTACCCAAGGCCCCTGAAACATAACATTAACAGAGATAATTAACCAGCCCTCACTTTGAACCCGAGCCTCACTGCAACACTGCTGACCCTCTATGTAATCTAACCAAGGTTAGCTGATTAACTGAGTTACCTGTAGGGACGTTACAACTCCGGAAATTAAGTAGTCAATAACAATACCAGTGAAATTCCATGATTATTGATACCCAATTTAATACCACAGTAAAAAACAAAACAATAATTCCCATGTACTTACAAAGCACCCCTCCATTAAAAACATTCAAACATTACAGAAAACAACAACAATGGAATGTAGCCTTGAAGTAATAAATAAAAAGAAATGACAATTAACATTACAAAAAAAGAACAGAGGCATGTAGCCATCAAGTATTTAAAACCAACAATATCGTCCTTAAATACAAACAATCAACTTTTTATGGCACAGCCTTACAATTATAATACCCGACTGAGAAACAAAAAAATGGAAATAATAACTAGATGTAATGAAAATTTTAATATTAGAAAAAAATCACACACAAAGACAGGAATGGAAAGGAGAAGAAAAAACAACAATTAAACCCAGGTAAGGCATTTACTTACACATTTATTTTATACATTTATTTTTAAATTTATTTTCAAATCAAAAGCGACAAAGCGATCGCGTCACCAATCGCAACGAGCTAAAAAAACGAGTGGTCACTAACTTGTGAAAAAATCAGGAGGGTTACCAGGCTAAACAAAATGCTTTTAATAACAAAACAATCCACAAAATCATTTATGGCAGTGCAAAAATTTTACAGTAAAAGTATTTTTTTAACACAACACAAGCACCACCATACTACCTGCCCCCCACAACCAAAGGGATGGAACTTTAAGGTGGCGGTACACAAAACTGATGGAATCATCGTTATTTTAGCAATATGACGTCGTATGAACGGTGATCACCATTTTGGTGCACCGCCTGTGCAGGGTCGCCGAGGCAATCTTTGTCATTTGTTCTAATCCCACTCACTGTTTATGATTGGTTGACATACATGTAACGCCGTAGGTTTGGTCAGCAGGACTCATTATGCGATGTGCATACCTTTAAGTACTGTAAATTAATATGCGTCGCCGACATGTTCAATTTCGTTTTGCTTAGACATCATTTGAAGTGTGCGGCCAGCGTCCGGCTACCATAACTCACCTTGCCCTTTGTCCCGGTCACATGAATGATATTCAGGCGGTCCAGCTCCTCCAACTGGAAAACAGGAGAGAAAATGGACAGGATGACAACGAGGGGGCGGGGTGGGACAGCTATCTGGTCAGGGTTATCTGGAACCGGGTCTTGGCTATGTGTGCCTTGTGTGAGGTGCATTTATCAGAACAGTGGGTTAATATGAGGACTATAGGACATAACTGGGTAGGGAACAGAACAGGACGAGAGGGGACAGGACGGGACAGGCGTACCGAGAGGCCTGAACGCTCCAGAAAGACCCTCATAGCCTGCAACTGGAGCAGCGGCTGAGTACATCCCTGCCGCACCTGCTCCAGGGTGCTGGCATTGGACTGCAGGGAGTTCAGCATCTTGATGGCGTCCTATGGATACACACACAGAATCAAAACTAAAACACCTTTAAAGCTGAGATTAGATTTTGTTCATAAATTTGCCATAAGACAAAATGTGCTTCACACACACCTCAGCCTAAAAAAAATACTTAGTTCCATATTAATACCCTTTATAATTTCACAGATTCAATTTGAGAGGTCCAAAGAAAGCTCTAACGCACATTCGCGGTGAGAGGGAGTTCCCAATAGTCCCAGACAGAAAGCACACTATGATTTTATTATGATCATCAATGTCTCCAACACCTTGATGTCAAGGAACAGCAGTTTTCTGCCAGGCTTATTTTTAAACTTACATTAGTTTATGTATCACCTCAAATTCCCAAGAAACTTCCAGTTCCATAAGCATCTCCCTCTTGATTGAAAAGAAAGTGAATTCTAGTGATGTAGTCAGACCACCTAAACCGAGGCCAAGTCATTACCAAGACCAGAGTGTATTGAGACCAAGACAAGACCAAAAACAAGGCAGGGCGAGACCGAGAAAAGACCAAGACCAAGTCAGTGCAGACCAAGACAAGACCAAGAGCAATGGAGGGCTAGACAATGTCAAAGTCAGAAAGAGACTAATGTTTGAATCTACAGAACACAACACGCTATAAAATGTGGAGCACAGGGACCATCTAGGGGCTAGGCAGTTTGGCCTAAAATTTGTGTCACAGTTTAATCTGAACCATGGACATTTTTTCTTAAAATTTCTATGTAAATGCTTCTGTACAAATGCAACATTTTTTCTAATAAGACACATCTTATTGGTTGCATTTAAATTTTGAAGCAGGATTTTTTACACCCAATCACAGTACTGTGTTAACAAACAGATGAATATCATATGATATCATATCATATGATTATATGATAAATATAGAGGCGTTTGGATGAGTGATCTTGACTGGTATTGAAATAAAACCTTGAGTCTTGTATGTCCGAGACCGAGACAAGACCGAATCAAAAGTCGATTCCGAGATGAGACCAAGACCGCAAAAAAAGTGTTATTGAGAACTACAATACTGGGGAATTCTAAAGGGTTCCTATGTTTGTTTTCATGACACGACCGATCACCCCACCTCCGATAATTAAAATACATTACAAATACATATACATAATACACTTTTCAAATAAAGATTATAAATGGGACCATCAGAATAAATGCAGTTTTTTCCAACCTTCATTGACTTGAGCTATCTAATGTGTTACATTGCTCTACCAAGACAAAAATTAACTGTATCAAAGTGACTGCATCGGATTCACCGTGTATGCCTTTGTAATAAAAAATATATAATATTTCCCACACAGAACACTTTCTCCAATAAACCTAACAATAAAGCAAAAGTCTGCAGTCACGTGTAGTCACGCTTCTCGTCATACACCCCGGTGGGCCGCTGATTTGCAGTCAGTTTTGCAGCACACCGGCGTGCAAGCTTTGACACAGCCGTGAACCGCGCTCCCCACGCCGTCTTTGCCCGCTGACCTGGTACTCCATCCCGTGCTGAAGCGCTGCACCGCCGCTCGGGCTCCGCGCTGAGAAAGAGGCACCGAGCTGCCGGCGCCGGGGGCGAGCTGCGCGCACATTGCGAGTCCAGGCTCGGATGGAGCCCACCATGGTGCTCCGGCTCAACCAGCAGGGCGGCACCGCTCAGCCCGCCCCGTCCCCGCCTCCTCAACCGCGCTGTTTTGGACAGGTGCTCCAGAAAGCCAGTCCGAGCGCGGGCACTTCGGCAGATCTGAACGGTTTTTATATTGTAACTTTATGCATGAAGTCTGATATGGCACATGGTCGCGGGTGTTATTGCAAGTGATGTTGCGTTACAGTATATTATAGAAAACCTAAGTTATTTTATTGCAAGTAAACTTGCATACGCAGTATCTTTTTGAAAACACGTGCGTCTGATTCGATTAAATAGTTTCGTTTCCACGTTTTAGTATATGCTGTCGCTTAGTGGTCATCGTGTGAAGTGCAGCACAGATCAGTGGCACCCCGTTTGGTGACCGGGCCCACAAATGAGGTAATATCCGACCACCTGGGCATTAACTTACAAAAATTATAATATTCTTCGGACAGCTTCAGAGACGATGGACACAGATCTTCCACCACTTCAGTCTATCTTCCTCTCCTGCTGCCCGAATCGGGCCGAGTCCATCATCAGGGACGACAGCCACCCAGCGAACGGCCACCAGAGGGAGGCTACTGGTGCATCGCCGCCTGCTTCAGAGACAGGCTTCTGAACCATGGACATTTTTTCTTAAAATTTCAATATAAATGCTTCTGTATAAATGTAGCATTTTTTCTAATAAGACGCACCTTATTGGTTGCTGACCACTGAGTCAAAAAAGGTGTTCCTAGTTATTATTCACAATTCCTAAATTATCCTACCTAAACCATTACATTATATGTGACCATTATTCACTGCTGGTTAAATCCCTTGTTTAGAGCAGAGGAGTATAAATGTCAGCCTTGTGGTTTACATATTATGAGATGTTTTTTTTTTTAATATGGCCACAAATTAGAGGGGGATTTTTCTATTTTAGATGGTTTGGTATAATGTTTTGATCTGGTGTGATGGCGAGGGGTTATGTATTGGATTGTCTGTCAAGGGTTTATTGTTTATTGGGACTCCCATTCGCTTCCACAAAGTGGTCGTGAGTCTTCTTGGGGTCCGCTCAAAAAGCAACAATCAAAATGATACAATGTCAGAAACAACAAAAACAAAGAGACAAAACAAGCCAAAGTTCATATAAATAAGTTCAATTTCTCTGCATATGAAACACTAAACAATAATAATCTGCACTAAAAACCACAACAAAAATTTGTCCCAAAATATACAACAAAACGAAATAAAGCAATCTAAGGTTCAGAAACCATAATAACCACAATAACATCATAATAATATATATAATTTAATACATATAATTTAAGATGGATCAGATTTTGTTTTAGCAACTGATTGAATAAAAATCTGTTTTTGTCTCTCTGACGTTGACTCCATATATTCCAAGCTAAAGAGGATCTATATAGCATAGGGATGTAACGGTATTGTAAATACCGTCGTACCGCAATAGCAAATGTTTTAAACACTACCGTGGTCGCATGACTCGATAAAACGATAGGTCTTCTGAGAAAAGTTTGCTCAGGCGAATGGAGCGAACGGGAAGTAGCGGGAACTACAATTCCCATCAGCCCAGGCGTGGTCATCATCCTTTGCGGTCTGTTGTCGCTACAGATCCAGTAATGCGGAAATGGCGGGTGCTGCTAGTAGCGGCGAAGGAAAAGAGATGGAAATACTAAATTGAAACTTTATTTTTTTACATGGTTTAATAATTTTTTGTTATTAAAATTGAAAAATTGAAGTTTCTGTTTCAAAGTTTACAGATAGATGGCTAATTTGTATGCCATTGATATGTTCAGTGTTCATGTAAACTGTTTAATAAAC